TTAAGTGCACTTTATGATTTCAAACATTTTAAACAGTAAACTTTAACTTTATAAATAACAGAAAAACATTTTTAAAATAGCAAACATGAGGCTATTTAAACCATCATTAAGCGAAACAGGGGACCCAAAATTTAATCGCTATGCGAAGCATGGTCCCAACCATCGCTAAGCAAAAATCGCCCATAGGGACCATCGTTAAACAAAGCGCAAAAATGCTCTGAAAAAGTTGTCGCTAAGTGATTTTAACGCTAAACGGAGCGCTTGTTAAGCGAGGCACCACTGTAGTTGTTCATCCCAAGTCATTATACAATGGAGTCAATGCAGATGGAGGACACCAGCTCGCATTGCTGACATGAATGTGCAGTCTGGCATTAAAGTAAAGGTAAAGGTTCCCCTTGACATTTAGTCCAGTCGTGTCCAACTCTAGAGGGCGGTGCTCATCCCCACTTCCAAGCCTTAGAGCCAGTGTTTGTCTGTGGACAGTTTCTGTGGTCATGTGGACAGCGTGACTAGACATGGAATGCCGTTATCTTCCCACCGTGGTGGTACCTATTTATCTACTCACATTTTACATGCTTTCGAACTGCTAGGTTGGCAGGAGCTGGGACATGCGATGGGAGCTCACTCCATCACATGGATTCGAACTGTTGATTTTTCGACCTTGCAGACCAGAGGCTTCTGTGGTTTAACTCACAGTGCCACCACATCCCCTGGCATTAGCCCCATATAAAAGAAAGTTATTTGGGAAGCTTCCCACCACCATCTCGTGACAGATATCACGGGAAGTGCAATGTCATAATAAACCTTGCTTCTTCTGCTACAGCCCCTGGCAGCATTTTAGGATCCATCTTTTAGTAATTTCTAATCTGCAGAATCTGGAGAAACTTAAACTGCCCCAAGACTCAGTAAACACTCCAAAGCAGAAGGAAGAAAAATAATATCCTTCTGTTTAAAAACTTTTAAAAAATGATCTATGCATCAGGGTGGTGGTGGGAGGGGGGGAGAGGTATTAGCAAGATTTCCCAAAGCTTGACCAAACATCAGAAAGATCTGGCTCATTCCCATATATTATATCTTGCGTAGTTCCAGATGTGAGATGATAAGGAACTAGATTTGTCTGGTTTACATTTGCTCCTCTGAGCAAATAACTATAAAGTCTGGTTGTATCTTGGTTGTATGAAAAGAGTAGGAATAGTGATAGAAGAGATCAGTCAGGTATGGCCTGATCCTCTAACTGAAGAGGTTGGGCAGAAAAATGAATAAAACATTATCTCTACATGAGCTGTAATAAGACTATGGCTTTGCCTTTAGGTGGGGCAGGCAGTTACTTGTGCCGTTGCAGTTCATTTCAAGTCCTCTCCCTGGCAAATTAGGTAAAGCTGGCTGCCTTCAATGCTACTTGCTGGAAAACCTTCACTCCACCCCTGGCAATGTCAGCCTTCTATTGTAGAGATGAAACTCTTGGCGCCAGGAATTCAGTCTCTGCAGAGATCTCATTGTGGGATTTGAAAGACTACGCTGTTGACCAGGCTGGATCACTGCCACAACAGTTCCCAGAATTGATTTGTCGTCCCCCCCTCCCTGCAACTGCCGCCGCCGCCCCAAAGTGGTGCCGGAGCTCCGATATTGCCTCCAAACCTTTTAGTTTTCTCCCCACCCTGTCTCTGGGATTCCCTCCTGGCTCTCCAATCCGATAGGTTTGGCAGGGGATGAAGATCTTCAACAGCATCTGCTGATGGTGCAAAACATGAATGCACAGTAGATGACATGAACATCCTGTATCCTATGTTCTAAATTGTGTTGGGTGAGTAATCAATAGGCAGTTACTTAGGAGCATCATCCATCTAAGTGCCCCAAGCAAGGAGTGCACCATTTTGTGGAAATATGTTTAAATATATACAATACAGTTTTAAGAGATTTGTCATCTAAAATAGACCTTAAGATAAGAAGGTCCTCAGATGTTCTTGGACCGCAACGCCCAGAAGCCCTTGCCAGTCTTCCTTCTTCTTCCTTCCTCTAAGATAGAAGAATGAATTTAGTAAAAAAAACTTTGAAAGTTCCCTTTGTTAATAGACATTTCACCCACAAAAAGCTTCTCCTTACATCATCTCCTTACCAACTAGGGCAGTGGTTCTTAACCTTGTTACTCAGGTGTGTTTGGACTGCAACTCCCAGAAGCCTTCACCACCAGCTGTGCTGGCTGGGGTTTCTGGGAGTTGCAGTTCCAAAACACCTGAGTAACCCAAGGTTAAGAACCACTGAACTAGGGAACAGATTTAAGGTTGAGAATGTTGAAGTAAAGAACAAAACAAACCCTGAAAACTCTAGTTTTTATTATTATTGCATTAACTGATCATCTCACTTACTTTCCCTGAGCAAGAAGCCCCTCTGTGTGCCTGCAGTGGGGACATAGGGACATAGTATGCTGCACATATGAGCCTTAAAGCAACGTGTAGTGATCTAGTATCTTTTGAACCAATTAGATAGTGGCTGGGAGGGACAGAGTACTTCTTGCCTCTGGTCTGTTTGTTATATATATTGTCACATGTCCTCCTTGAATCTAGCCACTGTATTTCTGGACTCCCTAACCCTACATTCTCATTTGTTTAGTTTTGATATGAGAACTATGCCTGTTTGCTAGGGTATCAATGTTGATCTGATTCTTTGGTTGATAGAAGTCGATACTGTATTTATATATTTAAAGCATTTGTTTATCATTTTCCTGCCCACTGGGGCTTCCCATGCAATTTATGATAAAACAAATTACAAGCATCATTTAAACATCAACCCACAGACAATGCAGAGCAGCTCTTACTAAATAAGTGTTTTCCCCATGCCTAGGCATTCCCAGTATGGTGTAATGGATAAAGTGATGGACTAGGACATTGGAGAACAGGGTTAAAATCCCCATGCAGCAATGGAAACTGACTAGAGGAGTGGAAGTAGTAAAATCACTTCTTAAATATTTCATTTGAAACCCCTGCTAGGGCTGCTATAAATCACTTCCAACTTGACAGCACAAAGAACACACACACACACACACACACACACACACACACACACACACACACACAGGCTTTCCTCATAATATAGGTGTGCAGTCTATGTACTACAGTTAATGGAATTGTGGACAAATATATTTGGAAACATATCCCATTGATACTGATTTCCACATACAGTAACTGTGTTTGGTGTTCAGGTAGTTGTTACTTTATTCACAGGACTGCGCTCTTTTGTTTTTTATTTTGATTTTGCTTTCCTACAAGTTCATAGATGGCTCTAAAAAGCCAATAATATGACTTGGTATCCTAGCTCCTAGCTAGATGCGGGTCCCCCAACAGGCAGTTAAGTAATGTAAACAATAAAGGAGTAATATCTGTTTTCATTTTAGGTTGTCCAGGAGCCAAGAAGAATGAGTTCCTGACCAGTGTTCTAGATGCACTCTCCACAGATATGGTGCATGCAGTGTCTGATCCTTCATCCAGCAGGTGGGTTTCCTTGGCTCCAAGGCTATTATTTATTTAATTATTTATTATATTTATCTGGTCATTCGACTACGCTGGGTGGCGTACATCAAACGCCCGAAAGTATCTATTTTTATGGAAAGCTGCTACAATCGATTGAGATATATCAGCTATAATTTATCCATAGTTTAGTGCTAGTCTTGTAAAAAAAAAAAAAAGGAAGGCAGGCAGGCACATGCAGAGTGATATTCTTTTACAGCTGAATTGTGACAATTGGCTCTCACATACTGGGAGTTAAAAGGAGAAAGCGTTCCCAAAGATTGACTGGAGCTGAACACTTCTGCTTATTCTTTTTGCAGACTCTTATGAAGGGTTTCCATTTAGAAAAGAAAGATAACGAGGACTCTTAGAAAGGGCCTTAGAAAACAGTAAGTGGTCTAGAAGCATGTGGTGCTGCAGCATTGCTAAATGTAGTAGGTTTGGGTATTGCTGGTCAGTTACATGGGAAATCACTCTGACCCACCATGTAAGTGTGTAGGAGAAAAGACTGGTGGGAAAGGTTAGGATTCAAAAGTCTCCTTGTTTTCATGTTATTCCGCAGCAAAGCAGTTAAGACAATCTTTTCAGGACACATGCACACAGAACTAGGTTAGTTTCAGGCATGATCAAGGCATTGTTTCTTGTCTTCTGACAGCCCACTCCTAATCCTAACTGCTGGATCTGTTTTTTCCTTACCATTTAATTCCTCCCCCCTTTTCTTTTTTATTTTGTTTTGTTCTTGTTTCTTCTAACCCTCTTCCAGGTGAAGTTTATTGTAGCTCCATCTCATAGACAGCAATGAGACTTAAACTAGTCTGGAGTAATTGAGTTCAATGGACTCAGTTAAAACTACGTTTAGTTGGGCCACAGAGAACAAGCTACAACAAAAGTCACCATGTCTTAGTCAAAGGCAGAAAACTAATCCAATAAAGCATTTTATTATGATTTTTTGCAGTGAGTGTTTCTCACTGTAGACTTTATTCAAATAGTTGTTGTAGCTTGGCTGTGTCCTGAAGGTTTTTCTTTCTAATGTTTCACCAGTTCCTGTGACTTTTGAATTTATTCAAATACATTACATGACACTATTAAGAGACAGTGGAGGTTGCTGATTCGGTGCCAAGCAGAACATTTTCTTTTCTCCTAGTGCAATGCGATGCTTTAAGAGCTAAGACAAAACGTTCAGCAACCCATTTTGCTCCTGCTGTGTCTATTACCTCTGTCATGGGGGAAGCCTGAGTTGTTTCAGGGATATCATAATTGTACTGCTCAAGCCATCAACATTTTTATTTTGCTAATTGTCAAGTCCTCAGCTATGTTGCCTAATTGAAGATATGAGTTTCTCTCTTCTTACTCCCTTTTGAGCAATAATAACAGTGATGAGTCAATCAAAATAGAACTCATTTCCATCCAGGGAACCTTTCTTGGAGTACTCAGAGATAAGCAAATATTAGACACTCAATTGCAATAGGACAATAGCAAAGAGGAGCTGGTATTGAATGATTTTTGTGGTTGTGTTTTCACAATAAATGTGCAGAAAACTGAAAATTCTAGAAGTCCAGAATAGCCAACTGTGTCATCATTTTGCACATGAGTGTATAGACAGTCTGGTGAAAGACACGGAAAAGTGATAATGAAAGATTTAATAATTACGTAAGATGAATCACCTGGCGATCTCTATATATATTTTTTTTTTTGCAGGCTTTCAGAACCAGATCCAAACCATACTCTGGAAGAGAGAGTGGTCCACTGGTATTTTAAACAGCTGGATAAAAATGGTAGTGGTGACATTGGAAAAAAAGAAATCAAACCATTTAAGAGATTCCTGAGGAAAAAATCTAAGCCCAAGAAATGTGTGAAGAAATTTGTGGAATATTGTGATGTGAACAATGACAAATCCTTAACAGTTCCAGAACTAATGGGCTGCTTGGGTGTAACAAAGGAAGACAATAAAGCAGACACAAAGAAACGCCACAGTAAGGGGATTTCCTAAATGGCTTTTTTGACATATAGATTATATTTTGTCTTAATGAGAAGGATGGGCAGAGAGGGAGATGTTGCCTCTAGCATGTCATAATGAAGATACTTGTAACTCAAATGTAGGACTGATGTTTCCTATGCCAGCGTATCTCCATTCTTTGCGATTTGCTAGATTCAGGATTCACCCATGCCTCCTAATATCTGCTCTGGGAGTTGACCTTTTGGTAAACAGAGCTTCAAAACTTTCCTTTTTGTGGACTTTAACTACTAGAATCACACAGCCAATGTGACCATGTTCACTGGGGGATAGTCCAAAATGTTTTAGTCCAAAATGTAGCTGGCTAAATAAGCTCAGTGGTTTAGGTCCCTGGCTGTGGAGCCAGATGTTGAGACTTGAATTCTCTACTGTGCCTCCTGCAAGGAGAGCCAGCCTATGTGGCCGTGGGCAAGCTGCACAGTCCCAGGGAGGTCCCAGAAGAAGTGAATGGTAAACCAGTATTCTCTACCTGGAAAATGCTGGAACGGTCACCATAAGTCAGAATTGACTTAATGGCACATAGGTATTATTAGTCCAAAGCATAGCATTTCCAAAGTGCAACAATATGAACAACCTAAACACTAGAAATTAAGAGAATGTGAAACCCAGGGATCAGTGCAGATATATAGGAATATTCTACACATGCTAGATTGTACTCATTTGCCATGGGACAATTGCAAAACTTTCAAAGCAACACATTTGAGCAGGTTTCTTGGGAAGAAACAAGTAAATTTAAAATGTTGACCATTCAGGAAGAAATGAATAACAGTCACAAAAGGAAAAGAGAGGGTCTGCCCCCCCTTTTTTCTGTAAGCATGTACACATGAACCAACATGTGCTGTTTTTAAAAAGTACACAGCTGACTTTCAAACCGAGACTACACAGCATTGTGTAAATAATCTCATCATTCAGAGGTCTGTGATGCAGCTGACTACTTGTATAAGCAAGCTAACTGTGTGCATGTGCAGATACCGAACCTGCAGGAATAAGCTTGTTCCTGGAATATAATAGGAGAAGCCTTTCCTCCAGGTTAGGAGGAAACAGTTGTAGGCTCAGATGATCTGGTCACCTAAGTTTAAACTACATGTAATGGCAGTACATCTGTTTGATTCATGGTGTGATCAGACAGCCAGAAAGGATAACATCTAATTACACCAGAAAGGGTTGCTTTGCTGGGAGCAATCTCCCTTAAAGTGACCCTTCTGCTCACATGGGAATCATTCCAGCCCAGCCTTGAAAAAGAGTAACCCTGCCGCTGGACACCAGTTGGGGTCAGGCTGGATCGCTGTTGCCTGTATGTCATGTGAGTTTCAGGAAATCACTTGCATTGGCGCATGCCACAAGTGGTAAAAATGTGAATTCTTTCCCCATTGATTATATCCCAAATCTGCTACAGTTGCGTAAAAAGTGATGGGAGGAGCCTAAGTGGAAAAAGGGAACATGGAAGATTCAGTCCTCTGATTCATCTCCCCTCACTTGATTACCATGAACATTTTTTTCTTTTTGCCTTTCTGGGATCACATCTACTAACTTCATCCTTCCTCACTGATATGTGACTGGACACTTCCAAGCTTAAACAAATGGGTGCAGCTTTTGAAGTCCCTGGGGATATAGTAAAAAAAAACACTGGTTCTCTAGGCAGCTGTCCAAGCCCCTCATACTGGTGGTATACGCTAGAACTTTTATTTATTATGTTATTATAAAACAGTAACCTCATTCATCACATGGCATTTTAAGAGATTTAGTTAAAGCTTTGTAACGAGAACATTCTTACTGTGAAATAACATGCCATCTTTTCCCCCTCTGTGACAGCTCCCAAACATAATGCTGAAAGTACTCCTTCCAATAGACAGGTAAGTGCAGAGATGAATGCTTGCCATCTTCTTGATAATATATTTTGACCACTACCCCGACTGCATGGCTTATTGGCAATAGTGCCTCTATGTGGATCAACCTATTCATAATGGAATTAGGAAAACTCACCTCTCAAAGGGGAGATGAAATAATAATCTGAAGCCACACTTCATTGATGTTAGCTTTGTACACTCTTAACCCAGCAGTTAATGTCGTGTTGATTTTCACACCTCTGGTAAGGAGAATCTCACAGCTAAGAAAATATGCTTATTTCTCTTTCCCTCAGAGGTTTAATTCTCTACACAGCACCAAACACTTTCAGTGAAGCAGTCTGAAAATTATTACTCTGGTAGAAAAAACCATGAACTGGAAAGGGTTATTTTAATTATATAATAGGTGTTACTGCCCCATGTGCCTCAATCACCACTCAAAACACAATATAGCTTTCTTTCTTTCTTTTTCTCTCTCCTCTCCCTTCCTCCTGCTTTCCTGTAATCTGATAGCAACATGTAAGGTAAATCATGAAGTAGTCCTATCATTTCTGAGTCTTGATTTTTAAAAAAAAAAAATCCTTTAAATATTTTTTGCTGACTCAGTCTCAATTATTTTAAAAGCGTGTGCTGTGAAATGATAGCCTTGAACAAATCTTACTTGTACAAACCATCTGTTGGCAGTTAACTGCTGTGGTGATGTGAGGCTAGGAAGGTTCTTCACAGATGCCAAAGGTGGCTTTCATCACAGGAGCTCATGCTTAAAAAGGAAGGCTCTGGAAATGAATATACCTGAGGAGAAATAGTTTCTTTTAGAAAAAAAAAACACCCAACTAAAAAGAACAGCCAGCTCTGTTTCCTTTGGGTGGTAGGCAATGGGAGGGATAAAGGTAAAGGTAAAGGTTCCCCTTGACAATTTTTGTCCAGTCGTGTTCGACTCTAGGGGGCGGTTCTCATCCCCGTTTCCAAGCCATAGAGCCAATGTTTTGTTCGAAGACAATCTTCCATGGTCACATGGCCAGTGCGACTTAGACACGGAACGCTGTTACCTTCCCACCGAGGTGGTCCCTATTTATCTACTCGCAGTTGCATGCTTTCGAACCGCTAGGTTGGCGGGAGCTGGGACAAGCGACAGGAGCTCACTCCGTCGTGTGGATTCGATCTTACGACTGCTTGGTCTTCTGACCCTGCAGCACAGGCTTCTGCGGTTTAGCCCGCAGCGCCACCACGTCCCTTGATGGGAGGGATAAGAAGTGATATTACATTTGCCATTTATTCAAGAGCTGAGCTGACATACCCATTGTAGAGAATGTGGTGAGAAATGGAAGTGATAGAATTCTGGACATAATCACCCTCACATTAGAGACCAGGCCCTATTTTTGAATGCTGTCTTGTGTATGTGGTAAACTAGCACATCAGAGAGCTGACTGCAAAATCTTTCCAGTGTGCTAAGCTTTTATCCTACATTTCTGCATGAAGAGATGTTTTTTTTAAATGTGGAGTGGTGTTTAAACTATAATATCCTTCCTCTGGATAGCTCAGTATTTTCGAATATCTGGCTGAAGAGCTAGAGGCTGGCAGTTGGATTCCCTACTGTGCCTCGCTGACAGGGGCTGAGATTCAGTGATACCCCATAGGGTAACTTCCAGCTCTGTAGTCCAAAGATTAGATGATGAAGATGATGTTGAAATGGTATGGTTATGAGGGACTGTAGCACTGAACATGTAGATTGGCTTTTAGTAGCGATGTAAACAATACTTGCTAAAATCTTCATTGTCTCCAGTTTAGGTTCTCTGGCATAATGAGACTGCTTAATAAGAAATTTTCAAGTGCCACAAGCTTCCTTTCCTTCTGTCAAGGATGGATAGAGGCTGCTATAGTTTCTTATTGTCCCAGTCTCCATAACATATACAGACTGTCTGTGCAAAATGCATGTTCTTTTTCCTTTTGAGTCAAAAAGCCCACATACCTCTTACAAGCACAGAGTTAGTGGCAGATTGATTTTTTTAAAGAAGCAAAGAACCGCTTTAAGCTTCTAATCCTTAAATGTCCATGGAACAAAACAGCAGTCATTGTCTTTTGTGCAAGCAGTCTTATTGTCATTAAGGTATGTTTTCGTAGAATTTTGTTTAAATTGTCAAAAAAAAAATCCTTTTTCTCATTCTCTACTCTTTATGAGAATGTAGCCAAATCTCTCACGAAACATCATTTTTTGTAGTGAAGTTTATAAATTAGCAGTTCCTCTTTCTTGTTTTGGAAGATGAGACATGTGAGGATTTACACCCTTATTTTTCAGGCCGTCACCTTTTATCTTAGAGCACTCCTGCTCTTACTGTAATAGGCCTACAGTGAAAGTATTTATGTTTCCTTCTGACCTTGTCACATATGTGGACCGTGTGGTTTGAAAACCTCATTCTTTATCCATGTGGACTACGGATATCAGGAGGGGCAGTGAAGTGGCATTTGTATTTCCTACAATGAAAGGTGACTGGGAGATTTATAAAGGTGGGCTGTAGGAAGAAGATAATTGTTTGCTATAAAGCCATTGGTCACCTTTAAACAGCTAAAGAAGACAGATAGTCATGTGACAATTTTGTCACTACTGATTTATAGGTTCCTGCATTGTCCTAGATTGGTTACAGTATATAGGTAAACACTGTATAGAAATAATTTCCATTGTTGTAATAACATTGCATGGAGTTGTATATACATGTACACATATGATTAACTTTTCCATATTCTTTTTGACAGCAAACCTCAAAGAAACAAGGCTGAACACTTTCTGTCCAAGGCAATCTGCTGGACATGTGGGAGCCTCCATCACCAAAAGGCAATAAAACCAACAACAACCGTAGTATTTGCACTTTGTATTTTAAATGTAAATTCACTTTGTAGAAAGGAGATATTTAAGCAGACATTTAAAAAAAATCTGTGAAAATGTAGTAACAACTTGTTTTAAACAATTATCACATACAATGTATGTGTCTTTTTTGTCGTCTCAAATCTGTACGTCTTGGAGGTGTAAAAGTTTGCATTTAATCTTTTATTTGGAAGAAGAATGTTATGTCAGACATTACAAAACAAAATAACCTGATAGTGTTATCTTTCCTGTCGTGTTGCTCGTTTTCTGTGTAACTGTTACAGTGTTTATGAAGTTATACTGAAAACCAGCTTGGTTTGAAGTCTACTGTACTCACAACTGTAAGAGCAGACAATACCTTTATTAGACCACTAGAAAAAAAAAATCAAGCTGTGAGCTTTCATGAGTCAAGTCAACTTCTTCAGGCCCTGTACCAATATTTTGTGGATACAGCAGAAAAAATATAAATGCTAGTCTCAAAAATTCACCTCTAAGAAGCAAATCTGGCACAATCACCTGCCATGAACTTTTGGGACTTGCTTTTGTAATTTTTCTGCATTATCCACAAAGTATTGGTTCATGGCCTGAAGACGTGACCTTGACCCATGAAAGCTCACTGTTTGTTCCATTTTTAGTGGTCTAATAAAGATAGCACCTGCTCCTGCATTTGTTTAATTTTAAGGACCACACGGCCTTTTCCTAATTTTTTCTGTATTCAAAATCTTATTCAATCTGTTTTTAAGGCTGCATGTCCAAAGAAAGGACTGGAAAATGAGGTTGACTTCTTCTGCACTTTATGCAAGCAGGGAAGCTTTCCTCCTCTGGTGTTCCAGCATTTTGTTGTTTTCAGATAATTGTGTTGTCTTCTCTGGAACACAGTTGTACATCAAGAATGCAACCACCAATTGATTTTTAATTGTCTTTTTATACCTGGGTTCTTGTAGATTTTTTTGCCTATTCTTTTTAGAAGACACCCTTATCATATATGTTTATTTTATTTTTCCATTCTTTTTTATTTTAGCCAGGCAGGAGACATTGTGTCATTCAACCCTATTTCTGTCAAGCCGTAGAACAGACATAAGAAGGCAGTAAAGAGGCACATTTGTCCAATGTCATAAATCTAATTGTGAGGAGACAAAGAAGGCAAAACAGTCTTGTCAAAGGTTCTTTGCACTTGGCTAGGCTATGATATGAGACTTGTGATGCCCCAGGATCTACAAAGGTAAAACTATCACTTGAACAAATTATGAACAGTTATGGTAAGGAGATGCAGTCAGTACAAGCTCTCCCTTAGGGTGTTTTTCTTACCATCTGGGAAATGTTCTGACAAGTTTTCATACCTTTCCAATCCTTGGAGGTAGAAGATTTTTTCCCTTCCACCTCTTTCCTGGAATGCCTGAAGGGTATGGGAACTTGCAGATGTGAACTTCATAACAAAAGAATTGAAAGAACAAAAAACAATAAAGAAGCCGAGTTTCAGACTTTGGAGAGCAATAAATTATAAGCAACCAGAGATCCATGTACAGTTTTGATAGAATGCAGTATCCAAAACAAAACAAAGAGTGGACGCTGGAGATTCTCAGCAATGAATAGTGATCTCTGTCTGACTCATTACGCAGGACATCTTGAACAATGTGTAACAATAAAAGTCAATACTCATATTCTCATCTCGTCTCTGTATTAGGAATATGACAAATACTTTCAACATTTCTCATTCCCAGTCATTTTCCAAATCTTGCCATGCCATAATCCCTCGCTGAAACGTCCCCCTGCATCAGCAACATTTCCTGCAATAATAAACCTCCATTCTCATTTTGACTTTGTATATTTTTCCCCCTGTTGTACTACACAAGAAACAGATTAATGCCCTTTTTGGCAAATTATGAGCAGGAAACATGCCATTCTGCCCAGGAATGGCAATCATTCTGTGCAACTGGGTGTTCCTTCTGCCCTTTCCAAGTGAATACTGCTCAAGAAGCATGCCATTCCATGCAGGATTTAACTTGTGCACAGCTTGGCTATTTTTTCCCCCAGGGGAAAAAAAACATAAAAATTCCAATAAATCAGATAAGATTTCTTTGAGGGGGGATTTTGCACATAGAAATCTCACTGTGAAGAGGAAATAAGGATATTTTCTTGATTTTTCTCTGAGAATAAGAGATTGTGAGATTGGTATTTCTGCCCTGTATTTTTGTCTGCTACAAAGCTACATGATAATATACCGCAGGATAACTTCAAACAAATTGGAACTGAACAACAACAACAACAACAACAACAACAACAACAACAACAACAACAACAACAACAACAACAACAACAACAACAACAACAACAAAGACTTTTGTGGTCAGAGGTTTAAAAAGCAAGGAGTCAAAATACTAAAATATGTTTACCTCTATTTAAAAAAACCAAAACAAATAATACCAAACTTTTTACTCAGAAATTATTTGACATCTTTTTTTATATTGCTATACACTTAATCTGTTTAGATTAAATATGTAGTATGCTATGAAACCTACTCTGTTTTGTTATGCTTGTATAGGATATAAAAAGCCATAAAAATTGTTGGGCTCTTAAATGTTGGTATATACTTATTTTCTTTCTGCATCTCATTCAAAATCTTTTATCCCCAAGAAGAACTGCAGAACAACTATTCCATAGTAAGCTTGCTTCCATCAATAGACCTTGGACTTATGCTGTACCAAAGCCCACAGTATAGCCTCATGTATCTCCATATACAACCATACAGTAAACACATTTTGAGATGTTTTAAAGAACATCCAAGCTGCAATCTGTATCAGAATGCAGTTATCAGTATCTGTTTTATATGTTAATGTGAATGATTCATTTTTATGAATGAAAGAGATGTTTTACACCACCAACCTATCACATTGTACTAGTCAGAATGATCATGTAGGGTTTTTATGACAATATCTTTGTTTCATAAAAATGAAGTATGCAAACTAACATGTATAAAACAGAGATTTGTGGTAACTGCACTCTGACCCAGATCACTGCTTGAAAACTTTCACTACAAACCAAAATGTTGACTGTATAACTATGTAGAGCTATATACAGATATATAGCTAGAAAATGATGTGCGGACTGGAAATACAAGCCAAAGTGAAAGCATCATATGGCATCGGTCTGGAGGGTGTCGAAAAGAGACTCTGAACCACAAATGTACCACTTAGCAAGTAGGCTGGAAAACAAAGACACCAATTGTGCAGGGTTTTGATGGCCAAGGTTCATCTGGAATGAAATTGCAAACTATTCCAGGCATTTTTGAAGTTCTAACATTATTGTAATGCTGAACTGAAAAGAAATAAAATGTTCAGAGCATTTGAACATTGTGAGTTTTGAAGTATGTGAATGAGCACGGGGGGTGGGGGAGAATATAAGAGGTTTGCTGACAGATTTCTTCTGCAGAAAAGGAAATCTGTTAAAGATGTCTAAATCAGGCAAGGTGACTCACCTTGGCATATTGCAAAAAAAATCTGTATGCTATATAATAAAGGATATGTCAGTATAGGTTACAAAGCTCTTCCTTGACAAAGATAATTTAGGTATGTATCTGACATATTTGTACTGAAGTATTATGTAACTAGTGTTCTTATGTTAGAGACCAGTATAAAAAAACATTTTAATGGAGAGAATGAAAGGTTTATTGCTTTGGTTTTACTTTTTAAAAAAAGGCAAATTGATGTGATTAGAGAGTAATTACTCTGACATTAAATACAATCAGTAAACTTTATTGATGTCTGAAATGTTAGACTGATTACAGTAAATGGCTGATGCAAACTGCACTCACTGTCCCATTACATTCCTGTTAACCCAAAGCACGTGCGGAGAGTATTCCACAAACAGAACAGCATCTTTTCTATCCGAGTCAGAAGGCTCCAGTATTATAGATGCCTTATGCAGCCCTCCCTAATTGTCAGTACGGAAATTGTCTATAGGGATGGGAATTCTAGGAGCTGGAATCTTAAAAAGGAAACTCGTCAAAGGTCTGCCAAAACCTGACAAATAGCTGACTCAAAGCTTTTTCAGGACAAGTGCTAGCAAAAATGGAGTGATGTTTCCCCAAGTTGTGGAATGTAAGAGATGGCATATTACATTTTGCGTCTTTCAGCTCACTGGCACTCAAAGCTGACACAAAGTTTTGGCTTCTTATGACCAATAAGAAGGTTGGCCAAAATCCTGTTGCGTGTGTTGCAGTAGCAAACTGTCACTAACTAACAAAGTGCTAGCTGTGCTCCAGAGCACATGCACAACCATGCAGTTGGGTATATGCCTAGGAGGCCAACAAGCACCTTGTTAATACACCAGATCATATGTAATTTATCGGATCTAAGTGTAAATTGCCCGTTTTCTGGACATTATCAACCCAGCAGCATAATAGAATCTCCATTATCACGAGTGACTGGCATTATCTTATTAAGATTCACTATCAATGTATCTTTTCCAAGAGTGGAGGCAGAGACTATATCTCTAGGTCAAAGACAGGCAACGTGTCATTGGCATCCTCACCTTATCAATTATTTTGTTGGCATGATTGCAGCAACTGTTTAAAAAATCAATCAATCAATCAATCAATCAATCAATCAATCAATCAATCACATTTTATGCATTTCTTAAAGTGTCCAGGAAGCACTGTTCTCTTTTAGAAGACAGAACACATTTACTCTGCTCTTTGATTTTTAAGCCTAAAAATGCCAACACTGAAAGTGCCATTTTGCAGTGTGCAATGTTATACAGACCATGTTCTGAGAAGTGAGGAGAGCCATGTAATTTGCAGCAGCAAGGAGGCGAGGGTGTTTCCCCTGCACCCAAACAATCAAAATGAGTTCTCACTTTTCTTGCCTCTGATGTGATTGGTAACTTTTCTGAGATTTTTTTTCTCAGTCTGATCATG